TCCTTGTCTCTGATTTTGGAGAACTTGATTATTATATGCCTTGGTGACTTTCCTTTGGGGGTCTATCCTTCCTGGGGTATGTTCAGCTCCTTAAATGTTTATCTTCTCATATTTCAAGATGTTAGGGAAATTTTCTTCCAGAAGCTCTTCCAGTATTTCCTCTGTGGAGTTCTCTGATTCTTTCTTTTCCAGAATGCCAACAATTCTTAAGTTATTCCTCTTCACATTATCCAGCACGAATCGTAGGCTCTCTGCAGATTTTTTTATCCTTTTTCCCATTTGCTCTTTTATCTTAGCAGTATTGAGAGATTTGTCTTCCAGTTCACTAGTTCTGGCTTCCATCTCTTCTATTCTGCTCCTTTCCCCTTTCAGTGTTTTGTCCATTTTTGATATCTTGTTATTAATTATCTGGACCTGTTTTTGCAGATTTTGAATTATTTCCAATGCCGTATCAATCTTATTTGATTGCTCCTATAGTACTTTCCTGACTTCTTCCTTGTTTTCCTCCACCCCTTTTCAGAGCATTTGAATTTGTTTTCATATCATTCTTCTGAATTCTTTCTCACGCATATCCAAAACCTTCTCTTCCTCCTCTACAAAGTCTTTGTCTGTCTCCAGCTCATTTGTCTCAGCTACTATTTGCTGTTTTGGACATATTTCGATATCGTTTGTTGTTTTTTGTTTGTAATTTCCAATAGTTATGTGGTGTGTGTTTTTTTTTAAGCTTAAGTGAATGTTTGTTGTTTGTTGTTACGCTTACTGGGTGTCTCCTGGTGAATATAATCAGGAGATAGGCTTCCCTTTTCGCATGTAATTCTTAGCAGGTGTTGGCTTTTGTCTCAGTGGTGGAATATTATGGGCTATGCTTATAGCTTGGCTATATGGCCACGATTGCTGTTTCTTCTTGGGTAATGTTGGGAGAAGAAGCTCCCACCTCCAGGAAAGATGTGTGATCAAAAGGACCAAAAGCAGACGTAATATAAATGCAGAAACAAAAACCACCACTTTGGAACAGAAATGAAGCTGTGGTCGACTAACCGGAGCTACAGAGTCATGTGTGTGCAAGGTAGAAGCCTCCAGCAGTGGGTGAAGGTGTCCACTCTCTCAGGTCCCTCCTCTAGTCACTATGGTAGAGTTGCACAAGTGGATATTAAGCAGTTAATGGGAGAAATATTGTCCACTATATTTGTCTCTGAAGGTTAGTTAGATATCTGAATGTGCACAACATAATTCTCAGGATGGTTGAGTCCTTTTATATTGGGGTTTTACTGATTGTTTTGTATGGGTCCTGCGCAGGGAGCCCAGGTAGCGCAGTGACTGGGAATGGGCCAGAACCACAAGGTCAGTAGCTCGAATCCACCAGCCACACTGCGGGAGAAAGGTGAGGCACTCTGCTTCCGCACAGACCCACAGACCCAGAAACCCCGCACAGCGATGCCTGGAGTTGGAGCCGGCTCCAAGGTGCACAACTGCCAAAGGTCTCACCGGAGAAAATTTTAGGACTGTGTCTCCGTGAGTGATGTCATAAGTTACCACCAAGCTCCCTCTCTCTGTACCGTGGGATATCTGTCCCGCCTGATATAATCCAGGCTCAGCAATAAAGGTGGGACAGGGAAAAAGAAGGAGAAATGTGTAGTCTCCCACGCCTCTTTTTTTTGCAAATGTCTCTGCACCACTTTTAGCACTGGTTTTCTGAACCGGACTTTCTGTAACCCTGCCTTCTAAATGCTGCCAGGGCTGCGTTTCCACCAAGGGAGTCCCGCCTCCAGATTCTTAGCTCTCAGTATTTTCCTTATTATCATGATTTTTTCACTTGCAAGTGCGGGAAACTGACGTCCTGGATCTTATGGTAGATCCAGAGCTCTGGAGTTGTTCTATGAGTGCTTCCTTCTTGGATCCCCGTCCATTCACAACAAAGCATTCCCTACCTGGTTTTCACTGCTCTTGCCCAAACATAGTCTTCAAGCTATGTTATTTTCAATTGCCTCATATGCATTTGAAAGCTGACCCATGAAGAAGGTATTCCATGGAAGAATTGATGTTTTTGAGTTATGGTGTTGGAGCAGAATATTGAAAGTATCATGGACTGCCAGAAGAACAAACATATCTGTTGGAGGAAATATAGCAAGATTGCTCCTTAGAAGTCAGGAGGGAGACACTTCATCTCTCATACTGCTGTCTTGTTATCTGGTGGGACCAGTACCTGGAGAAAGGCATTATACTTCGTAAAGTGAATGGTCAGCAAACTAGAGGAAGACTCCCAACCAGATGAATTAGTACAGTGGTCACAGCAGTCGGCTCAACCATAACATCAATGGTATTGTGCATAGGGTCACTTTGAGTCAGAAGTGACTCAGTGGCACCCAACAACAACAAGCGTTTTCTATAAAATTCCTTTCCACCATAATTATTCCCTGTCTGTCTCAAAGCGACGCTGATTTATTTTGTTTTGTTTTTAAAGCAAATCTTTCCATTTATTTTAGAAATATCAGCTTGTTTTGTCCGTTCATCCTGGTGAGTCCAATCTATGTTAGGAACACACATACTTTTTCTCATTCCTTTTTACTGCATCTTTTATGAACATCTCCTTTTACTTGAGGAGATGCTTCAAATTTTCCAGATTTTGAAATTTTATTTTGGTATCAAATTGAACTGTGCCTCTGAAATTCTTCAGTGTTTTGTTTACGATTATCAATCCAAGCAGTCACTTATTTTATTCTCTTTTGTTGGTAATTCTCTACCTTGGAGTTTCCATCAGTTATCTTTTTAGACCCTTCTCTTTCTGAAACCAAGAACCAAACACCTCTGACATAAAAGAATTAAAATATATTCTTTCTTTGGCTTGATTGGAAGCATGCTGAACTTCTTGAATTAAGCCTCAGTTCAATAATTGCCCTCTCTTATGTCTTCATCTCTTGTGTTCATAGTTGTTCTGGATTTTAATTAAACTCTTCTCAGAACACATGGTAATTTTTTTTATTTTAAGTAAAACATTTGTAGCTTCTAAATTGAAGGCTATTAACTTCTCTCACTTTTTATTCTTTAAAGCCATACAACAGTAAAAAAGACTAATGCAAAATATCAGTGAAGATTGGGGTAACTGTGAATATTAGTGAATATAGGAGAAACTGAGTGTGGGGTTCATTACAATAACTTTGTATATTTAAAAATTGTTTTAAACCAAAGAGTTTATTAAAAGCTCATATAAGATGCTTTCTTTTTAATTCTGAGGTACTTTAGAGATAGTTGAATACTGCGCTTTTCATTTATCGTGAAAAATCTGATAATTGCCAGTGTTCTTTATCTGATGTTTCAAGTACTGAGTCAGTATTAAAGTTTTGGATCAACTTGAGAACATTTTTCTCAGGTCCTTCTATGATCTTGAACAGAAAATAAATGATGTAGCTGTCTCATATCTATATGACATCACACTACCATGTTCCTCCCACATCTCATATAGCTATAGCAAGTGGAGTGGAAATGCTTATTCCTTAGGAGTGTGTTGTGAGTCAAATAAAAATAATCAACAATGAATCGAGGAACAATATTGACACTATATCTTACTGAATTTTTATCTGCACTGTTTTTTGAGACTCATAAAGGCTCTAATTCTTCATAAGGTTCTTGATGATATCAGTAAGACTGTGATCTAAAACAACCAAAAATACAGCAGCCTGCTGTTTCCCATTTGAAGATGAAAGTACCTCTTCTGCAGGTAGCTGTGTTGCATTTTCTTTCCTCACCTTTTCCTCAGAATCGTCTTATAGCCTCACCTTCTGAGCTTTTGTTTCTAGGGTTCCACTTGAAAGAACAGATGCTGTCTCTGGAAAATACTCGTAGTTGGGAACCTGATGACTGTGTCCATATAACTGAGAACTGGATACTTCGACTACTACTGGGCAGGAGTAAAAGACTGTTGATAGAGGCTTCCATCTTCTGTTTTCCTGGCAGACAAAACAACTTAGAAAACTCAAGCTACAAAGTCTATGTCAAAATGAATTTATATTTGAGGAACTAAGATGCCTGGGAGAGGGGAGTGATATTTAGTAACAGCCCATATGAATTTGAGCAGAATTTAAACTTAAAAATGCAAAAAAAAGAAATTTCCACCTGTGGTAACCCTATTATACCCAGTTAGATAGTATTTTTAACCATTTGTTGTCTTAATGATATCTCATACGATTAAGAAAATAAATCTCCTTATTTAGAAATTAGAATAACACCTTGAGACAGTCAATATATGCGCTACATACATTTGTGAATTTTTTCCATAGCTATTATCAAGATTGTTTAAAAAATAAAAGTCATTTGGTTTATATTTTGTAGTTATTGAATTCAGACACTGTTTTACTCAGTAACTTTTACTTCCATGTGAAAAAGTAGATTTTGTAGAGCTCTGCAGACAGATGGGAATCAGTATGTAAATTATAGTTTCCTTTAAGATAATTCAAGCTTTGTCAGGAAAGGTAAGCTCAGAATGCTGAAGTGCTACTGAAATAAGCTGTTTTACTCCTTCCTTAAAGATCAGTGTATGCAACTTTGAATTCAGAAATGATTACACCTGCATGTTCTATTGTTGGTTTTAAGTGCTGTAGAGTCAGTTCTGACTCATAGCGACCTAAGATAGGGTTTCTGAGGCGCAGCTGATGGGTTTAAACTGCCGACCTTGTGGTCCACAGCGGTTGCTAATCCTACAACAGCACACCAGGAGTCCTAAAGAAATGAAAGAACAATTTAAAACGTTAACTGTTTAATTTCACATTTATTTAGTGATGTTTACAGAATAATTGATCTTTTTAATTGCTGTCTCCCCAAACATGCACATATTTTCATTGAAATTATTTGAAATCCATTCCTTAAAACTGGATTCTTTGCTTAGTAGGAGATATACTGGGTTAGTCCTAGTTTGTGATACGATTTTTGAAGGTTGTCACCTGTAAAGAGACTCCAGCCTCTCTGTACAGCTTATGCTGACCTTCATTTTTCTTCCTCCGTACCAGAATCCCAAGGACTGTAGCCAAGCCAAGAAGCTAGTGTGCAATATCAACAAAGGCTGTGGCTATGGCTGTCAACTCCATCATGTGGTCTACTGCTTCATGATTGCATATGGCACCCAGCGAACGCTCATCTTGGAATCTCAGAATTGGCGCTATGCTACCGGTGGATGGGAGACTGTGTTTAGACCTGTAAGTGAGACATGCACAGATAGATCTGGCACATCCACTGGACACTGGTCAGGTAAGAAGCCTATGCCACCTGTCAGAACCACACCTTGACCAAATTACCAAATTCCTAGTCACCTTTTCCTCTGAATTCGTTAATATTATCTATTATAAAGGAGCTTTGGTAGCGTAGTGGTTATGAATTGGGCTGCGAACCTTAAGGTCAGCGGTTCAAAACTACCAACTGCTCCGCGGGAGAAAGATGAGGCTTTCTACTCCCATAAAGACTTACACCCTCGGAAACCCTGTACAGGGTCGCTATGGGTCGGAACCAACTTGATGGCACTTAAAACAACAACAACAATTATACAGATAAAATTTAGAACAATATATTAATGTATACTTTTATTATCTGTTTTATTTTTGATGCTCATCTTTATCTGGATTTAGCAAAATAATTTATTTTTTCAGAGCCTGCCTTAGGCAGGGTCCTCTAGAAAAGCAAAACCAATGCTACTGATATATATATGTAATTGTTGTTAAGTGCCTTCAAGTCAGTTCTGACTCATAGCAACCCTGTATAGGGTTCCTGACTGGTGAGTTTGAACCACAGACCATACGATTCAAATGACTTTGTGGTCCAGTGCTTATTGTATAGTGCCAAAACAAGATATATAATGGGCAGTGTATATCTTAGAAATGGCTCATGATTATAGAGATAAAAGTCCCAAGCGCAGGCCAGGTGAACCAAGATGGGTGGAAGGCAGGAATCTCAAGTCAGGGCACAAAGCAGGACCTCGGTGCTAGAGCAGGAGCGGTAGCAGTGTGAAGGTCGACTAGGCTGGGGCATGCATGCTGCAGGATCTGCAACATGGAGCACAAGAGCCAGGGCCACAGGAACATGTGTGTAGGGCCCTCTGGTGGGCGTCTGGTTTTCCAGGCACACTCAGTGGGCAGGCCCAGCAGGCATACACACAATAGAGCAGGCCACTCATTTAGGTTCAAAGAACTGGAGCTTGGAGGACAACCCAGCTGTAAGATACAGACCCAGTAGAGTAGAAGCATGGACGTCTTTCCTGCATGTCTGTTGTATTGGGAGCAGGCCACACTCCCTAGGAAACATCATTTCAATTGATTGGCTGTTCATAGCTAAACATCATAGAGTTGAGTATACTTGTTCATAACCAGTCATCATAGAGTTAACTATCAATTGCCAAACAACTGGTTCAATCAAGTTGACAAAGAACCTAACTACCAGAGAGCCCATAGTTCACTTTTGTAATAATGGTGATGACAATACTTCCTTTCAAGATTTTAGGAGTCTTTCAGATTATTGAGCTCATTTGATCCTCCCTAATTTTTTATAAGGTAAGCCAGTGGTTCTCAAACTTCAGTATGCATAAAAATCACCTGGAGTTTTATATCAGTTTCTGAGGTGGGACCTAAGAATTTGCTTCTTTGAGAAGTACCCAGGTCCTTGGACCATTCTTTGACAGTCACTGAGGTAGACTATTCAGGCAAAAATATCATTTTACAAATGAAGACAGTAAAGTCTAATTTGTTTATGTGCTTTTAATTTAATTCAATCATTTAACGAGGATTATGCTATGGGTTAATGTGCTAAACTGCAAAGATGGTTTAAACAACAGCGTCAGTGGTTCAGGCTCACCAGCTGATTCTTGGAAACCCTATACAGGGTCGCTATGGGTTGGGACCTCCTCACTGACACTTAATAACAACAACAACAATAACAATGCAAGTAAAATGATCCTTGTGCTGCAGTGGCTAAGATCTCCACAGCTAACCAAAAGCTTGATAGTTTGAACCCACTTGCTATGTATACGTCACAAGACAAAGGTGTGACAATCTGCTCCTTTAAAGATTACAGCTTTGGAAACATGATGGGGCAGTTCTACCCTGTCTTATAGTGTCACTATGATTTGGAATCAACTTGAAGACAACAGGTTTTGTTGTTTGTTTTTTTCCCTAATGTGAGTAAAAAAAAGTCACCAGGTGCTGCAGATGGTTTGCGCTTGAGTACTAATCTAATGCTGTTGGCTCAAACTCACCCAGCTGTAATGAGGAAGAAAAAAAGCAAGAAAACCCCGTAGAGTAGTTCTCCTTAACACATGGGTCAAGGTGTTTAGAATAGACTCAATGGCAGCTAACAACACTATGAATAAAGGACTGGCTAGAAATTATAAAGAGTTTTAAAGAAAGTTTTGTTCACTCTAAGGAAGTGGTGGTATCAGGACTGGAATATAGAGTTTCTTACTGCTAAGTGTAAGGATCCCTGTTAGGTAGTGGATTACTAGGTGAGCTGCTAACTGTAAGGCCAGTAGTTTGAATCTAACAGTTGTTCTGAGGGAGAAAGATGAGGTTTTCTCCTCCTAAAGATTTACATCCTTGGAAACCCATTACAGGGTTGCTATGAGTTGAAATTGAGTTGGTGGCACAAAGCCACCACCAGTGCTAGTCTATTCTTTGTTCTGTCAAGTCAGTTCTGAACCATAGCAATCCTATATAGGGTTTCCAAGGAGCAACTGGTGAGCTTGAACCACTGATGTTGCAGTTCAAACTGACCTTGCAGTCCAGTGCATTAACCCACAGCACCACCACACCTGGATCTTTAAATGTGATTTAAAGTTGAATTTCATGTATTAAAATATTGGCTTTGTCAGTTTGTGATCTTGGACAAATTACTTAACTCAGTTTCAATTTCCTCATCAATAAAATGAGGAATAATAATTGATTTGCCTCATTGAATTGCTGGCAAAATCCTACCTATATGAATAATTAATAATACCTATATGTCTCTGGTAGCGTAGTGGTTACGAATCGTGCTGCGAACCTTAAGGCCAGCAGTTTGAAACTACCAGCTGCTCTGCAGGAGAAAGATGAAGCGTTCTGCTCCCGTAAAGATTTACAGCCTCGGAAACCCTGTACTATGGGTCGGATCCGACTCGATGGCACTTAACAACAACAACAACAACATATGTATTATGGAGTCCTGGTGTGGAATAAAGCAGTCGACCTCAAGGTCCACTGGAACCACAGGTTTATGGTTCAAACCCAGCAGCCGCTCCTCAGAAACTCTAAAGGGTTGCTGTGAGTCAGAACCAACTCGATGGCACTTAAGAACAAGGACTTACTTAGCACATCACCTGCTGTATAATCTTACAGTAGTTGCTTGGTGATGGTGGTGGTGGTGGTATTGGGTGCCATCTAGTTGATTCCAACCCATAGCTATCCCAGAAGACTGAGTAGAACTTCCCAGTAGAATTTTCTTGGCTGTAATTTTTATGGAAGCAGATTGCGAAGTCTTTCTCCCTTAGAGTCAATGTAGTAATCACTAGCTATTATTAAAAGTTTTAATAGCTTTTATTCATTCAGAAAACATATATTGAGAGCCTGCAGGGTGCTAAAGAAGTCCGTTATCTAAGAACAATATACTTACTGTCTTTACATACATCTTATGGAAAATCAAACATTAAAAAAACAAAACAAAATGAAGGATTCTCTTCATATAATTTCTCATGTGACTGGGTCTCTTTTCTCACAAATATAGTTAAAACACTGTATTTGGGATACGGAGCTATGTAACTGACAAAGTGAGTAAGTGTAATTCCTTTGTTTCTTTTAGCCTCCTTTTTTAAAAAATCAGATAATACCCAACTCTTCACAGAGCTGTCATGAAATTTAATTGGGTAATTTTTGTAAAATGCTTTGAGTTACTCTATAAAGGGAATATACAAATTAAAAGTATTATCTCATAATGTGTTTTTTTTTTAGTCTTTAGAATGATTTAGAAGTCTATTCCCTTTATCAGCATTTTTTCTTTGTAACTCACTTCAGATTTTAAAGGAACCTCTTAATCTAGAGTTGAGTTTAGCTTTAGTTTTGAGGTTACATCTTCCACTGATCTGGTCAGCAGTTTGCAACTGGTACTAACAAGAACCTTGGTGACACAATGCTTAAATATGTAGCAACTAACCCAAGAGTCTGCAGTTATGTGGCCATCTGCTTTTGTAAAAATTACAGCCTTGGAAACCTTATGATGCTAGTTCTGCTCCTTCTTATAGGATCACTATATGTTGGAATGGACTCTGTGCCTATGGGGACTTTTAATAAAGGAGTAGGTTTCAGGGTTAATCTTATACTGTGGACCTCACCAGATGGAATGCATAGAAATAAAATTGACTGCATCTGTGGAAAGATATGATGGAAAAGCTCTATATCATCAGTCAGAACAAGGCCAGGGACAGACTGTGGAACAGACCATCAATTACTCATATGCAAATTCAAACTGAAGATGAAGAATATGAAAACAAGTACACAAGAGCCAAAATAGGACCTTGAATATATCCCACCTGAATTTAGAGATCATCTGAAGAACAGATTTGGTACATTAAACACTAAAGACCAAAGACCAGAAGAGTTGTGGGATGACATCAAGAACATTATAAGCGAAGAGAGAAAAAAGTCATTAAGAAGACAAGAAAGAAGGAAAAGGTCAAAATGGATGTCAGAAGAGACACTGAAACTTGTTCTCCAATGTAGAGATGCTAAAGCAAATGGAAGAAATGAGGAGGTTCAAGAGCTGAACAGAAAATTTTAAAAATCAGCTCAAGATGATAAAGCCAAACATTACAACAAAATGTACAAAGATCTGGAATCAGAAAACTAAAAAGGAAAACAAGCTCAGCATTTCTCAAGCTAGGGGAACTGAAGAAAAACTTCAAGCCTTGACTTTCATTATTGAAAGATTCTCTGGGCAAATTACTGAATGATGCAGAAAGCATCAAGAGAAGATGGAGGGAATACACAGAGTCACTGTACCAAAAGAAATGGTTAATGTTTAACTGTTTCAAGAGGTAGCATGTGATCAAGAGCCAATAATACTGAAGGAGGAAGTCCAAGATGCATTGAAGGAATTGGCAAAAAAACAAGGCACCAGGAATTGATGGAAAAAATTGAAATCTTACAAGAAAGTGAGGCGGCACAGGAGGCACTCACTCATCTCTGTCAAGAAATCTGGCCAACTGATTGGAAGAGATCCATATTTGTGCCCATTCC